GCACACGAATGCCCCCGCGGGCGCTATGGCGCCCGCGGGCACCATGTTGGGGACCACGGTCTTAGAGGATCAACTGACTTGGACTGGCCCAAATAAAAATAGCAGTGTAGACATTTCTGCTCGGGCTGGAGTCCAGGCTGTAAGATCCTCCCCTCCTCATTGGGTTTCAGAGCCTAGGATACAGCCCCAATGGGAACATGTACACCGCTAGTTTTAGCTCTGAAGCCAGAGCACTGCAAGTCCGAGGCAATCGACCCAGACTCGAAGGGCTGTCACGGTGGGCTTTTCTTCATAGCGATACCCCATGTCTCTTTTGGTCTCGGAGAATAAGCCTACATTTAAAAATGAATGCACTCCCGCCTTGCCCAAAAAAGAAACAAGGGCATTTTATCTCCGCAAAAGAAATAAAAGAGAAGATACCAGAGTTCACATTAAGAAATTCCTTTAATTAACAACGGGAAGGATGTAATGGGATGATCGATACCTTCTCAGAGTCAGAGCTGCCACAACAGGGTAGGCAGGGAGGTGGACCTAGATATAGCTTGGGAGGCAAAGCCCAGCCCCCACCCAGGGCTACAGCCTCTTTCCAGTGTGGGGGAACAAAGAGGACCTTAGCCCCCTTTCACCATGAGGCCTGGCTGGGCCCACTGAGGGGGGAGGGGAAGGGAACAGTTGCCCCAGGACCCGGTGATTCAAAGGCACCGGGGACTCCCAGCCACCCCACTACTACTGCAGCAGTGGCCAGAACCGCGGGCCCTTGAAAACGTCTCCGGAGTGCCATGCTGTGTACTCTGGGTGGCTCTAAGACCTGCGGGGGGAAGAGGGGCCGGAAAAGAGCGTCCAGACTGGCGCGATCCTCCAGAATAAAGCCCTATTCCGGAGGATCGCGCCAGTCTGGACGCTCTTTTCCAGAATAGGGCTTTATTCCGGAGGATCGCGCCAGTCTGGACGCTCTTTTCCGGCTTTTCCCCAAGCCGGAAAAAAAGCGGCGGCCATGTTTATTTAAATCCCGCGGGGGATATTTAAATCCCCCGCGCATTTCCCTATTCCAAAGTTCTAAATTAGCATGGCTGTTCCGAAGAAGGGGCCAGTGTAGACACAGCCCTAGTGATTTGCTAAAACAAGTGGAATTTGTGTATGCTGATGTGCTAATGCTACGTGTATTGGTACATTCAACCATTTGGGCACTTCTGTGACAGCACTTGCAAAACTGAGCTTATGAAGTTAGAGACCAATGTGAAAATTTGGCCCTTTAACTCTAGTCAAAGGCAAAGTTTCTCTCCAGCCATCTTCCACATGAAGCACACCTACCTCTTGTTCAACCTCTTTTGGCAGAATCCCTTTGATTTTGGCAAATATCCTTAGATTTTCTTTCACTGTTAAAACTTCAAACTGAACGTTAAATTGTGGGCAAACTCCAATTATCTTCCTAATTTCTTTCAAGTCCTCCATTTCAGACACTTTGTATTTATATATAATGGCAGAGCCTGCAAAGTAAATATGACCAACAGAAAGCAAAACATGCTCTTAAAATGCATGGTAGGTCAGATGTTGATACTGAAATAGGAGCGAAGTATCTGCATTTATAAGAAAAGAAAAGAAAAGAAAAGAAAAGAAAAGAAAAGAAAAGAAAAGAAAAGAAAAGAAAAGAAAAGAAAAGAAAAGAAAAGAAAAGAAAAGAAAAGAAAAGAAAAGAAAAGAAAAGAAAAGAAAAGAAAAGAAAAGAAAAGAAAAGAAAAGAAAAGAAAAGAAAAGAAAAGAAAAGAAAAGAAAAGAAAAGAAAAGAAAAGAAAAGAAAAGAAAAGAAAAGAAAAGAAAAGAAAAGAAAAGAAAAGAAAAGAAAAGAAAAGAAAAGAAAAGAAAAGAAAAGAAAAGAAAAGAAAAGAAAAGAAAAGAAAAGAAAAGAAAAGAAAAGAAAAGAAAAGAAAAGAAAAGAAAAGAAAAGAAAAGAAAAGAAAAGAAAAGAAAAGAAAAGAAAAGAAAAGAAAAGAAAAGAAAAGAAAAGAAAAGAAAAGAAAAGAAAAGAAAAGAAAAGAAAAGAAAAGAAAAGAAAAGAAAAGAAAAGAAAAGAAAAGAAAAGAAAAGAAAAGAAAAGAAAAGAAAAGAAAAGAAAAGAGAAAAAGATCTGGATATCTGCAATGTGTCCTTTCTACAGTAGACGTAACCCACTGGTTTTTTATCCCACAAAAACGTTAGTCTAATTAAAAGATAAAGTTTTCTTACATGCTCCTGTTTTAAGAAAATAATAAAATTGATTAAAATGCTGACAACACAAGAAATCATTTGCCAGATATGTTGTACCGTGTTCCAGATTCAGACATGCAAACATTTTGCTTTCTTTTGATAAGATAAGGCTGTGCAAAAATAACAGGAAAATACACAGAAACACGAAACACATTTTTTCAGACTTTAGGAAACAGATGCAAATTTAGGAGAAAGTTTGGGCCAGCTTATTTTACTCTAACCAATTCACTTTCATTTGCTTGAAATAAGGGGAGTCTCTGGGAAGGAGGAGAGCAAATTGGACTTAGTATATGGCAGAGAAACCTTTGTGCTTGAAGAACACAAAAAGAAGATAACAGAAGAGAACAAATTAGCAAGGTGTGCAGAGCCAACTCTTCTGCTAGATAGCGAGGGGCATGGTGAAGGGGAGCTAAGGCTTTTGTGCTATGGGAGGGGCACCGGGTGGCCGAGAGTGGCCAGGGGGATTATTGAGTGTGTGTGTTGGGGGGAGGAGGCTGGGGAAGCAGGGCAGGAAGAGGCAGGGTAGCAGTGGAGCAGGAGCAGAGAGTGGGGAAAGGAATAGGAAGGGGCGGGTTGTAGGCAGGACTTGGGGCAGTGGAGGGGTTGTCCCAGGCCCCACACTCCTTTAGGGACAGCAGTGAAGGGTTTGGAAACTCATCACACCTCTTCCTCGGTTATGACTGTGTAGGCGTACAGGAACTGTCCTACCATAGTAGAACAGTGGGCGATCTACTGTAATGGAGCTAGTGTCGGGTTCTTCGGACGGAGGTTCAAGGCGCTCCTTAGCAATGTGGCATCCATTTCCACCTCCCTGACAACCCACAGGCCTTCCCATCTATTCATAATCACACAATGTTATTGTGCCTCCCCGCATGTAACTGTCAACTGTTCATTCCTTCAGAGAGCCAGCAGGTGCGGAGGGGCGGGGAGGGAGGGAGAAGCACACGCTGGTCACCTTCCCTTCAGCTTCATTTTACCTTCTGAAGGTGGGCAAAGTCCACTAAGGATGTTGAGTAGCGTACTTTTTCCAGCTCCACTGTGACCAAGTAATGCAGTGATCTGGCCTTCATAGACATTAAGGAACAAACCTAATTTAAAAAAAAAAAGATATTGATGATAAGGTAAAGCAAAGGAAGTTTAAACCATAGGATTAGGGATGAGGATTTAAAATTCCCCCATCTTCATGCAGTACAGGTAACTGGGTGATTGCTCTAGCTCAGTGGTCCCCAACCATTTAAGGTTGCCGGGCGCCAGGGGGAGTGGCCGTTTGTCTGCCGGACGCCCAAACCTAATTTAAAAAAAAAAAGATATTGATGATAAGGTAAAGCAAAGGAAGTTTAAACCATAGGATTAGGGATGAGGATTTAAAATTCCCCCATCTTCATGCAGTACAGGTAACTGGGTGATTGCTCTAGCTCAGTGGTCCCCAACCATTTAAGGTTGCCGGGCGCCAGGGGGAGTGGCCGTTTGTCTGCCGGACGCCAGAGGGTGGGGCCCCCCCATAGCTGCGCACCCGGGACCGGTGCCCCCTCCAAGAGCCGCTTGCGCGCCTGGGGGCAGGGCCCCCGGCCCCCCCATAGCTGCATTCCCAGGGCCGGGGCCCCCCCATAGCCGCATTCCCGGGGCCGGGGCCCCCCCATAGCCGCATTCCCGGGGCCAGCGCTCCCCCCATGCGCCGCGTGCCCAGAGCGCGGGCAGCCAATCCGCGGCGCTCCTGGGGCCGGCGCTTACTGTGTACCACGTGCCCGGGGCCAGGCCAGCCCCGAGCACTTGGTGGGTGCACACAAATGCCCCCGTGGGCGCACCGTGTTGGGGATCACTGTTCTAGCTAATATCACCACACTAGACCTCGGCGAAGTTGCTCCAACTGGAGCACATCTATTGTGAATAGGAGTGAGTTCTGCAGGATGGGTCTTGATTTGGAAACGTCCCCACTTTGACACACCTGATTAGTCCACCTTTCCCAGTAGGTTGGAAAGCCCACCCGTTTCTTCTGTAAAGAGCTGAGGGGGTGGTGGTTGTTGATGGGCATCCTAAACATTGTGCTTTCAGATTTGTGGGGGACGTGCCCAGCGAATGGAACGGGCTAAAAAGTGCTCACATCTGTACAGGAGCTGTGGCGGGGCCAGCCTGTATGGGTGTATTCGCTGGTGACCTCCTTTTAGTGGTTCTCAGGCAGTTTTTCTAGTCCCACCCGGGGTGCTGTCTTTAAATAATCTCAGCCCTGGCATGAGACTGTATCCCCAGGGCTTCTCCCTTGGAGACCCTATTCTCCTGGAGCCCTCCCCAGGCTCATTCCTTACCCAGTCCAAACAGACAGCCAGAAGCCTCTCGCTCCCCCAGTCCCTGCCCCCCACTTAGCTGTGGTTGTGCTGCAATTCCCTCAGGCAGCTGAACATCCAGCTCCTTGTAGCAGCTCAGCCCAGCAACTCTAAACAACTCTCCCCTCTGCTCACTTCTGTCACTCCTTTTTATATGGCCCTGCTGGACCCTGATTGGTTGCTTCCCATGCAGCCCCTCTAGCCTGCTTGGAGGACCTCTCCATTGCTCCCTTTCTGGGATGGGTAAGGCAGATCCCTGAGGTCTCCAACAGGGGGCCTTTTGGCTCAGTCGACCTACTCTCAGCAGCAAACTTGGTACTTGGGCCAAAAATGTTCCTTCTTCATATAATCATTAATACCTATTCAAATCCTTATGGAATCTCCTTTCTATAAATGGTGCCCATCACCTTGGTATCTAGGTGCTTCCCAGGAACTAAAATACCCCAGGACAGCATGGGAACCATAGATCCATGGGCAGCTTTGTGCTTTGATGAAATACTCACAGGTGTTTTCACTTTCAGAGGTTTCCTTTCTTACCTTTTAAAGCCTTCACTGTCTTGTCCTTCTCGCCATAGGTTTTTTTAATATTGTTGATGCTGGGGAAAAAAAGCAGAGAGGTTTGAATGAAGATTGGAATTAAAGGGCTAGGCTCTTCCTAAAACTCTGCTTCCAGGATGGGCCAAAGGTAGGCAGGCACCATAGGGGAGTTTCCACAGTAGTCTTCTATTTCTCAGCTTAGCACAGACCTGAAGAATCAAGCCCAGGATGCTTTATGGGGAAGATGAAATAGAAATCCGTGTACTTACATTTCTCTAGTCAGTAGACGCATAAGCCTCAGCAGGATGGAAACCAAACAAACATGCTCCCCTGTCCATACCTGATGGCTTCTTTCCCACGAAATTCTGGAGGCACTTGTTCAATGTGATCACTAACGCCCTGGTCACTGTGTTCTTCATGGTCTAGGATATCACTGCGGACACCCTTCTGCCTTTCTTTAAACCAATAACTTGGCTTCAGGAAGAACAAACGGGAATGGCGCGTCCCATATTTATCTAATTATGAAACCAAAAATAAAACGGAATCTTTTGTTCAGTGACACAGAGCGATAAAGCGGCCGGGGGGACATTTCCCCGGAGAGCAAGGGCAGCTTCAAACCATGGAAATCTAAAGTGAATTCGGCATCAAATTGCTAGGGTGCCGTCGCCCTCACAGGGGGTACCCGATTCAGCTCTGTCAAGAAGTCAGGGGGCCAGTCCTAGAGATGGAGTAGGGAATGAATAATCCTGTTTTCGCTAGCGGTAGCCTCTCTGAAATACTATCAAAGGCACCTGGGCAAGGAAAGGAGGGGAAACGGAAAGGACTATGTCCTGAGATTTGTCGCTCTCCCGAGCATTATACGTGCTTAGAAAGGAGTGAATAAATTCATCTGGGCTTGAACAGAATGGGAAAAATAAATACCGGCTGTAACGACCCCTAATGGTTTCATAACAATTTCTGTCCAAAAATCTCTAAGCAATTTACCAAAGAGGCAAGTACAGCCAGAGATGGACTGCCTACAGGAATTAGAGCAGCCCTGTGCTTTTGGGGGCCCAGTGGTGGCAGCTCCAACCATCCTATGAATGGGAAGAACGGGTGGATTACAGAAGCCTGGCATGGCAGCAGCAGGGGTCGTCTCCCCTCCCCCCATTCACTCCACAGATGGCAGGAGCCGGAGCAGCCCAGCAGCCTGCTCCACCCTGCTCCGACCTCTCGGCCCATTGCACCCTGCTTCCTGGCGCTGCTGAAAAGCCACACGCAGGGGGCTGAGAGAGGGCAGCATGGCAGGGTGGAGCAGGTGGTGGGAGGGGGGCAGCTCCTCCTGGCACATCATGCCAGGCCTCATAAACCCCCCGTCCCTCCCATCCACGCGACGTTTGGCACGGCCGCTGCGGGGCCCCTAAGAGTACAGGGCCTGGGGCAGCTACCCACATGCATCCCCGCTGCCCATGGGGGAGGGACACACCCGGCTGCTGCCATGCCAGGCCCTTGTGACCCCCTGGGCCGTGTTGCTCTGAGGAGGAGCCAAAGGAGTGCGGGCAGGAGCGTGGTTTGGGGGAGGGGTGGAGCGGGGGATAGGTAGGTCCTGCAGCAGGAGAATTGCCCCAGGGCCTGCACCTGGTGCTCTGAGGTAGGAGAGGGGCTGCCCCAGTCCCCTGCCCCTCGGGATGGCCCTGAATACAATTATCCTTATTTTACAATTGGGAGGCACAGATTGGTAAAGCGATTTTTCCAAGCTCCTCCGAACAGAACCGAGATTTCCTTAGCCCCAGCCTGGCTGGCAACTATCCAGTCCAACCATGTTATTTGCAGAAGATAGTTTAAGAGAACAGGAAAACACGGAAGCACTTACATTCATGTAAATTGTAATAAGATTCGTCCTTACCAGGCAAGACTTTGTCAAAGTAGATGGCTAGTGTCAAATAGAGAAGCGCATCAAAAGCCAACAGGAAATAAAGGGCCAACATTGGGTAGGAGTCTTCCAGAAAGTCAGAAAAATCCACCCCTTTCACATTGTCTTCTAAATGTACAATCTGGAATAATGCAGCCATGTGCAAGGGAAAGAACAGGAATAGATGTTAGTGCAGCCGATGAGGTGGAAGACGCTCAAGGGGGATACAACTGGGACTTGTTTAAGTGGACAGCTTGGGTAGATGTGAAGGGGCTCAACTTCTCGTGAGCAACCCTTTGTGTCCGAGGGCATATCTGCAATGTCTCTGCCCGGCTGTTCTCTGGGAGGCTGGGGGTGTTGTAAAAGGCTTTCTGGTCAGTGGCCGGGGACCAGGCTTTTTCTTACCCCTGGTTGTGGCTGCTGGGTGTTGGGGGGAACCAGGCCTTCCCACTCCTCTGGGTCCCAGCCCAGGGACCCTATAAGTAGAAGTAGCCTGCTGAGTATTACTGCAGCCTATTGCTTATTCCCTGGGCCACGTCCCTGGGAAGCTGCTCTGTCCAGCCCTTTTTCTCGGGGCTTTGGGGTCAAGTTCTCAATGCACCCAGTCCAGGGTTCTACAAGATGGTGTTGTCTGTTACAGGCTAGTCTTCAGCCACTGGACCTGGGTTCTGACCAGATCCGGGCTCTCACTCAGAGCTGTCTGAAATGCAGCTGTCCTGCCAGTCAGCCCTTAGGTCTGCCTGGGTCAAGCTCCAGCAAGAAACTGGAGCTTCTTTTATATCAGCCTTCTGGGCCCTGATGGGCTGCTGGAGAAGCAGCCACTCTAGTCTACTTGGAGGACTTCTTTTCTGCTCTCCTCCCTGGGGTGGGGTGCAGTAGGAGACTTTGGGCCTAGTCCACCCTGTCACAGTGGAATACAGAGGCTGAGGCAAAAAGGGATGAGAACCAAAGGGTAGGGAGCAATTACATTATGCAGGGCCATGAAGGCCAGGAGATGATGAAATTTTATGGGGCAGGTGAGGTGAAACCAACGAGTTTGAGGGTCTATTACTAGACTTGAAAGATTCCAAACCTTTCATTAGGAAAAGGGTGTTATCATGAACTATCCTTCACTGACTGCTTTTCGGAAGAGTCAATGAGTCAGAACGCCTTGACAGATAATGCAGGACAATGTAGCACTTTAAAGACTAACAAGATGGTTTATTAGATGATGAGCTTTCGTGGGCCAGACCCACTTCCGCATCCAGAAATATAATCTATGCTATCATGTGCTGAAAGTGTCCGTCTGCTATGTACATTGGACAAACATCTCAGACACTTCGCCAAAGGATTAATGCCCACAAAACAGATATCAGACAAGATCACAAAGAGAAAACAGTTTCTTGCCATTTTAACCAGAAAGGACACTCTCTCAATGACTTAATCACCTGCATTCTGCTACAAAGACCTTTTACATCTGCACTTGAAAGGGAATCCTCTGAACTGTCATTCATGTTAAAATTCGACACTCTCCAGGAAGGAATGAACAAACACTCAAACTATCTTACCCATTACCAAGATAGCTTCCCCAATTATCACCTCTAATACTATTAACTCACAGACATCTACCCTTCCCCACCTCTAATATCATTAACTCACAGGCATTCACCTTCCTTCTCCCCTCCTGCATCCTCCTTCTGTTCTGAAATGTGATTTGTCCTTTTCATATGTGTTCTTTTTTTTAATTGTATCCTTTGGTATATATGGTTGTGACTATTTTCTTCCACTATTTGATCTGAGGAAGTGGGTCTGGCCCACAAAAGCTCATCATCTAATAAACCATCTTGTTAGTCTTTAAAGTGCTACATTGTCCTGCATTTTGCTTCAGCTACCCCAGACTAACACGACTACATTTCTATCACTATTTGACAGATAATTATTTCATTCTTTCCTCAATGAATGATGCACAGGAAGGAAGTTATTCTGTATCATACCCGCACAAATCCAGCTGTGAAGGCAAAAGGACAGAAGAGACCTAAAGCCCATTTCAAAGGTTCAGGAACCTGGTCATACAATACAGCAAGGCCCAGACTTCCGAAGGAAAGGGTGAAGAGGAACCCAACTATGCCAGTGAGCTTAGGTTTCTTCAACAATGTACTTAGCAAGAAAGCAAGTGACATCTGAAAGACACCAAAGGCAAGTTAGTATCAATTTCTCAGTGAATCACAATATAGTCTTAGGTTGAACCTCGCTTGTCCGGCACCCTCGGGACCTGACTGGTGCCGAACCAGAGAATGTGCCGAACCACAGGAGGTCAAAAAAGTCTACCAGCATTACCAACACTTCCCTTGCTAACTGGGTTCTTGGAAGACATTTAGGGGTAAATTAGGGTATGTCTACACTACATGGCTCCAGAGTCAACATCAAAAGCCTTGGTCGACTGCCCCCTTACGCCTTGTGGAATGAGGTTTACTGGGGCGGTCGACAAAAGCTTTTGATGTCGACTACGGCGCGTCCAGACTACCACGCCGAGCTGACAAACAACTGATTGGCACAGCACGGCAGCCATTTTGATGTAAAAGAAGCAGCGATTATTTAAATCACCACTTCATTTTGCTATGTCTACAAACCTTATCTACATGGCTCCGTCGACAGAGCCATGTAGTGTAGACATAACCTTAGAACAAAATAACAGACAGAACACTGAGAGCCAGGACTGGGAGCTGTACACAAACTTCATTGAATTGTGGGAAACTTGACCAAGTCAATGAGAAGTGGACATCTGGATAACTAAAATCATGCTGGACCATGGAAGTTGCCTGACCAGAGAGTGCTGGACTAGAGAGGTTCAACATGTCACAAAACTGTTGGCATTCCATAGCTCCTTTAACATCTCATGACAGGGCACTTAGAAGGATGGGTCTGACAAACGAGTTATTGAAACTAACAATGTGTTCCATCCATGAGAACTTTACTGAACAAGTATAGGAGAAGCTATAATCATAAGGTAACAACCTGCTCTGAGGTATGTCTTAAAGGTCTTATCTTATGACGGGACGGCCTGACCATGAATGCTTCCAATTTTGGAAGTATCCTGCCTTGTTCATGAATTGACCAGTATTTTTAGTTTGCAGAATCAATTAACTTTTTAAGTTCAAACCATCAGATATAGAAATGACAGAACCAACCCTTGTTTTAGGGTGACTGGCATGCTGCTTTCACTGAAGCAAAGCTTTAATGGTTGTGGTCATCAGCAGGCCCAAAGTATCCTTCAATGGCTTGATAACTTGAGTCTGTCTAACATGCAAAGGCTAAACCAGGCCTGGCATCTTCCAGACACTTTAGCCGGAATAGCATCTCTGGATAGGTCTGAATTTGGCTCAAAGTCTTAAAACCAGTTTTTGTTTAACCGGACCATAAAAAGAAACCTCAGCTCTAAGAGACACCAGCAGAGAAGCTAATACTGCAGTACAGAATTCTCATTAGCGTTAATTAGTCAAGGTAAATGAAGTCTGGTTGAGTGGAGAGATCCCAGACGAGGGTCGTTGGATCATTCTCTGAACTGTGGAAGTAAATTCCTGTCTGGTTTGGTCTTGGCTAAGCTTGCCCTGAATTATGTGAGGAATGTAATTTGCAACTGAAAATGCACTGAGAAAATCAACTGAACCCAGCAAATTTTGACCCAGAATGCACTTGTAAATGGGATTCTATTTAGGATCTGTACAGAGGCTGTCTAAACACTCCAGGCCCATAACAGACCTTTCTGCCCTGCTACTCAGAAAGTTTGGTTTGTAGCCAAACCAAGGACTCTTAAATCCAGACCAATGGAAGCAGCTGTGCTTCTTCTGAAAACTAAAACTTACCAAAGAGAGACCGTAGAGATAAAACAGGAAGAACATCACAGAATGGCTGGTCTGGTAAATAAATTCATCTGATTTCATGATAAGTGTAAGTAGAATGGTCACAATTAAAATATAACCTGCATACAGCAAACCCCAGGAGAACCTAAAATCAAAATACATTACATTACTTTTCTGGTTTAGATATGGATGTGAGGACATGCAATAATCTGTTAAAAATAGGGGGAAGAGAAGCCTGTACTATGATATAATAACTGGTATTTCTTTGACAAAACACCTCGCCATAATGTTTTATATGGATACTGCCCATTTATCATTTGCTTATCATTTACATTTTAATAAAAAAAAAAGCAGAATTTCATGCTAGGATAGGAATAGAAAACATTTTTTTTTGCAACTAAACATGAATTAGGCTTCCTTGAGCTGTTCCCAGGCAGCATTGGCAAAACAATCACCACACCGAGGCTATATCTACATTATAGAGGTTTTTTGGAAAAACTACCATTTTTCCGAAATAACTTGTGGAGCGTCCACTCCTCAAGTGCGTATTTGCACAAAAAAAAAATCGAAAGAACAGAGGGGGTTTTCTGGCGTAGGTATTCCTCATTCTTTGAGGAAGTATGCCTTTTGCAGTATGGATGCGCTCTTGCACAAAAAGTTTTTGTGGAAGATCTCTTCCAATAAAAGCTTCTTGCACATCAAGCCTACACTCTAGACATAGCCTGAGATAGTGCATGGGAATCAGAACACAAAACACCAGAAAGAAACCTGTCTCATTTTATTGTGAGAGCTGACTGTCCTGCAAAAAGGAGCAAGAGAGAATAAAAAAGAAATTAAAAAAAAACGCTTTCAGTCTTAATGATCTCCCTTGTTATAGTAGTAACATAGGTAAGGGCTTAAAAAAAATCTCACCATGGATTTTTTTTTAACCGCAGTTGACACTGCAAAATCACATATACACACAATCCCAAGGGGAAAAAAAGGAGATTTTTTTTTTTTAAAATAAAAGCTGTACTGTGGAAAAGAATGAATCACACATGACAAAAGTTAGTCCTGTTGCTTAATGCATGACTGGAAGATGCTCAAATGCTATAAAGATAAAGGAGATAAAAGAATCTAAATAGAAAGTGCAACATTGTTGACAGACAACAAATTAATAATAACTAACTCTCAAGATAGCATTATCATTAGTGGTGCTCAAACTGTCACATTGGCTTCAATAGATTTGTCCTCAAAACACCTATGGGAGGTATAGCTGAGCAATTATCCCCAATTCACAGATGGGGAACTGAGGTCCAGCATTTACTCAGCTTGAGAAAGGTCATACTGTCTGTAGAAGAGTAGAGAATAGAACCCAGCTTTCCTAAGTTCTAAGCAAAGGCCTTGGTCATATACCAAGTTCAGATAGACAACACACGCCACTAAGGGCTGATTTTTAGATGTTGTTAGGAGACAATCCAGACTCAACCCTAAGAATGTGCGATATGTACAATCTTTAGTTTGCCCATCAGAGGGGAGAATGTAAAATACAAATCCTGAAATGACACGAATCAGCATGCATCCATCAAAGTCATAAGAACGGCCATATTGGATCAGACCAAAGGTCCATCTAGCCCGGTATCCTGCCTGCCAACAGTGGCCAATGCCAGGTGTCCTAGAGGGAGTGAACAGAATAGGGAATCATCAACTGATCCATTCCGAGCTTCTGACAGAGACTAGGGACACCATTCCTACCCTTCTTGGCTGACAGCCATTGATGGAGCTATCCTCCATGTAGCTAGTTCTTTTTTGAACCCTGTTAAAGTCCTGGCCTTCACAACATCCTCTGGCAAGGAGTTCCATAGGTTAACTGTGCTTTGTGTGAAGAAATACTTCCTTTGGTTTGTTTGAAACCTGAGGCCTATTAATTTCATTTGGTTCCATCATCCTCTGTTTACTGACAAGAGTCTTATCTGGGATGATTATAGGAAGATTGAAAAGCAGGAAAGATAACCTGGGCAAAATGTCCATTCTCACTGTGGTTATTATTCCTTACCAAGAGTTCCTACATTTCTTCCAGGACTTACAGAGTGGAAAAACTGGCTTGACTGAGAATAAACCTGAAATCCATTGGCTTAATTTATTTTCAGGCTGGATGCTTTCCCATAAACATATTTGTTTTAGACATCAATTTAAGAACGGTTGCATAATGTTTCTCTAAGCAAAGTTTGTGAAGTTCATTTTCCTAATGGCTACAATAGTATCCCTGGCTTTTGTACAGTAAAGATTTACAAAATTGCTTGGGCTCCTCCCAAACAGTTATACAATTGTAACTAGGAACTTGTGGACGGGAGAGAGACCCAAAGGTGAGAGAAAACAATTGCCGGAGGTTCAAGGCTGGAGCACAAATCACCGTTTTCATGTTGGGATTTAGAGCAGAGTTTGTCACCAGTTGGCAAAAGTCCTTAGCTATGTCTTCCTCCCAGACTATTTTTCAAATAGTAAGCTCCAAATTACACAAGAAGCTATATTATACATTTCCTTTTCCTGATGTGAGGTCAGTGTGTGTACTTTATGGCTCACTCACTTATGAGTAAGACCCTACTTAAATTGTGGAAAGGTCTTCAAAAATTACAGCTTGGATTGTGGATAAAACTTGAAAACTCAGGAACCAATCCATGCAACAAACCTCAGTGCCAACTCTGCCCACATATATACACCAGCAACACCATCACAGGACCTAACCAAATCAGCCATACTGTCACTGGTTCATTCTCCTGCACATCTACTAACGTAATATGCGCCATCATGTGCCAACAATGCCCCGCTGCTATATACATCGGCCAAACTGGACAGTCCCTACGTAAAAGAATCAATGGATACAAATCAGATATTAGGAATGGCAACATACAAAAACCTGGAGGAAATTGTGTGTCAATTTCCCTGGACACACAAATGCAGATTTAAAGGTAGCCATCCTGCAGCAAAAAAATACACCTTTTGAATAGCAGGCTCTTTTGGGTTTTAGACAGTCTGGCCTATATATTTTTACGTCCTCAGCAACTACACACAAAAGCAGCTTCTGCTCTCTTGGAATTCACACCTCCAGATCAGCTACTAGAAGTGGGCCTCTTCCTCCCTGACTGGATCCACCTTGTCATCTCCGGCCTGATTCTGGCCTGCATATTTATACCTGCCCCTGGAAATTTCCACTACATGCATCTGACAAAGTGGATCTTTGCCCACGAAAGCTTATGCTCCAACACTTTGGTTAGCCTATAAGGTGCCACAGGTCTCCTCGCCGCTTTTGCATTGTACAGGCATTCAATGTTAGCACAGTAGTAATTGCATACTCATAATGTATGCAAAGTTGTGTGGACTATGCCAAGTCAGCTAATTAACATAAAAATTATATAGTGGAAGCATAAGATTGCAGAATCTGCAATTTCCACACTATCATGAACGAAGCAGGGCTTTAATCCATCCTCACTGTAAACTGCTAACTTTAAATAGTATGCCGAATCTGTAAAATTAGCTCCTAGCTGGAAGTGTTTGCTTCAACTGGCACTAAACTCTGATTGGGGCCAGGTCTACAGTAGGGGAGAAAGTTGACCTAAGATATGCAACTCCAGTTACGTGAATAGCGTAGCCGGAGTCAACATACTTTCTGTTGAATTTCCAGTGTCCCCACTGTAGGAGGTCGACGGGAGAAACGCTCAGGTTGATTTTCCTGACTCCTTGCAACCCAATGGAGTACCAGAGTCAACAGGGGCAGGATCAGCAGTCAATTTAGCAGGTCCTTTCTAGACCTGCTAAATCAAACCCTGGGAGATCCATCTCCTAAGCACTGGTCTCCCAGTAAATGGACACAAGGTTTGGCCATTGTCCTCCATGGGAAGGTCGACGGGAGAAACGCTCAGGTTGATTTTCCTGACTCCTTGCAACCCAATGGAGTACCAGAGTCAACAGGGGCAGGATCAGCAGTCAATTTAGCAGGTCCTTTCTAGACCTGCTAAATCAAACCCTGGGAGATCCATCTCCTAAGCACTGGTCTCCCAGTAAATGGACACAAGGTTTGGCCATTGTCCTCCATGGGA